TAGTGCTTGGTTGTCTGGCTATGAAAGCCCCGTGGTGTCTCGCATTAACACAAGGATACAGGACCTGACAGGACTTGATGTCTCCACAGCAGAAGAACTCCAGGTAAACCGTTAGGACAAGTAGGGTGGTGACTGTCAGCAGCCGGCATTTCGCGTTGGGTGGCTTGGTGTGCGGCACCGGGCTCCCTTGGGCGGTGGTGGCGCGGTGGCCACAAAAGCTCATTCAGCCCCGGGGTAGTGAATTTGATGGCTGGTTTGCTTCCAGGCCACGGGAAGAATGAGTGGGGTTTTTTACAGGGAGGAAAAAACAAAGTTGTCTTTGCTGAGTAGCACTTACTTTAGTGTGAAATGGCTTTCTGGTGGTGGAGGGAAACGGTAATAACTGAAACTCCTGCTGTTTGTTGAAGTGGCTGTGTAATTCCTTTTTCTTTATACTAATAAAATTGAGTTTTATTGCTGCAGGGTCAAACTTCGCTGCTGTAGTGATAGCGAAAAGTTTAGCTTGACTGATGATACTACAGGGAAAGGGGGAGAGAAGGGGGGTTTACATTTGCCAATCCCATCCTTTGGTCCTAGAAGGCCAACAGTGGGTCTGGTGTCTCCGTCACGGGGGAAGGACTGACTGTGCATTTAACTTGAGTAAATTTTATTCTAGAAATACTTTTATTCGTTTAGTTGAGGCTTTTAAATGAACAGCTGCTTCACTGATTCTGAGAAAGCATTGCTACCTAGAAAGTAGTTCCTGAAAGCTGTTGTGCTACTGTAGACTCGTAATGCCCAAGCATCTGGTTGAGAATTGAGGTTATTATGAATACAAAGAAGACATGAAAAAAAATTAAAAAAAATCAATCAGCAGCAAGGACAGTGGATTCTCTTTATTGACATAGAGATCAAAAAGTGATTTAAACTTGGCTGATGTAAGAGCTCCGTGACCCATTTTGAAGAGAGTATAGCCTTTAAAGTTTCTAGAGAAGAAAAACATTTTTCTGCCCTGGGGAAGTCCCACATTCCTTTCCTGGAGTAGACCGCATCTTACGGTGCCAGTCTTGGATGTGCTGCTGCTCCTGTAACCAGACATCTTGGGGCTCCTTGGAGCCTGTGGGGGGGCCAGGTCTTTGGGAGTTTCCTGGTCAGGTTCTGTCACCTGAGAGTCACTAGGATCAGAGAGGAGCAGATGCTCAGAAATGGCAGAATGCCTTTACTGTTCAGCTGGGGGCGGACAGAAGAGCTTTCCAGGAAAACTGACCCTGGGGAAGGGAAGGGAAGGTTCAGTGGTGGCTTTGCTGGGAGCTGGTACCCAGTGGAGAACTGCAAAGGCAGGCTGAAGGGCTGAGACCCTAAAGCTCCGAGTCAGGTTCTGGCTGTGCGCTGATGGAGGGGTCTGGGTGAAGTCGGAGCTACCTGTGAAGAAACCCAGTAGGACTTTGCTGCTTGCAGCACGGTTTAACTGGCAGAGACTTGGCCTTTCCTGTGGCTTGATTCTTAAAGTTCATCTAGTGAAAGGTTGTAGATGACGGTCAAATTCTTGTCTGGATAAACTACTGCTTTACTAGATTTTGTGCTTCTCCTTTCACTGTAGGTAGCCAACTACGGCGTAGGAGGCCAGTATGAGCCTCATTTTGATTTCGGAAGGGTAAGTCCTGTTTTCTGTCTCCACCTCTTTCTTCTTCACAAGTGCTGTGTTTCTCTTTTTCAGGTGGCAAATTATGGAGTGGGAGGACAGTATGAACCCCACTTTGACTTTGCACGGGCAAGTAAAGAGATGGAGGAGAGATAGTCACCTGGTGAAGCCTGGGCCTCTGGGCTGTGGCACAATTTTTATTCCTTAACCTGTATTAAATTTTGTAGCTCTTCAACTTTTCTAATCCATCTTAGTGGAGAAAGCCCTCTAAACCACCAGCTGAACTGATAAACATTCTAGGCATTACAGAGCAACAAGGCTTTTCTTCAAAAACATAATTAAAAAAGAATTATTCCAAGGAGGTGACTGATAGTTCTTAACAGAGCAAAGAGCATTAGCTTTATTCCAAAGCTGGAGAAACATTTACCAGTATTCTGGCTGGCCAGGGTACTGGCCGTGTAAAGCCATTTTGTTTAAAATCGCTGAAGGATATAGAGCTAACCCGTATAAAAACTCGGCGTACATCCCATGCTCCTGACACGTGCGGCGTACGATGGTGGCATCAGCTAACGTGCATCCACGCACCCAAGCTACTGTCGCTGTGCCCGCGGTGCAGAGCCTTGCTGAATAAGGCAAACGTGGCTGCATGGGTGAGAGCTTAATGCCCTCTTCTGTGAGGAAGGCGTCGTAGGCAGCGTAGGAGAACGCGCGTCGCAGCTTACCGCGGAGTCCCACGATGCGGAGAGAGAACTTCTTTCCCCAGAGCCGAGACGCAGGTGTCTTGCGTGCTGTTGAAGAAATTTTGAAAAATATAAAGGTGCTCTGTTACTGTAGTTTACATGCCGAGTGCTAGCAGACTCTTGGAACTGGAAAAAGCCTAGCGAGGTCCTCTCATCTCTCCATCCTTTTTTTTTTTAAATTTGATTTAAATTCCCAACATATTGCTATTCCAGTTTAAACTGCGGACTGCTGGAAATAATGCCACTGAATTCAGTTGGTTATTTATTGGGCATACCTATGTGTGATTTTAACACCTTCAGATTAACCTTACTGTGAATCCAAGCCACCACCTATTAATCAGAATCTCTGCTCTGTAAGCACATGCTCAAAAAGCATTGCAAACGATTAACAGTTTTTGTTTGGAAATGCATGGGTAAATTTCTGGTTAATTAATGGTAATGATTGCCGAAATTTTAGCACAGACAAAGGGTGGGATGTGAGGTGTGACAAAAGTTAGTCTTGTAACCCATCGCAATGGGTTTTTCTTCTTGTCAGTATGTCAAATGATTAAAAAAACCCCACCTTGCTTGCCCAAATGGCTCTCCGGGCTAGTGTGTTAGCTCTGCAGAGGCGAGCTCGGCTGCCTCCCTTCTTCCCAGCTGTAATGCAAGAGCAAGGGTAAAGGCCTCCCCCTTGACCTCACCGCTGGCGGTGTCGCAGCCACACCACGCACGTTCTCAGGCGCGTAGGTGGGTACGTACCTTACCTCCTGCCGAAAGCTTTGGGAAGGGCTGCGCCAGACACGCTGCCGCTGAGATAACGCACTGGCTGCTTAATGAATCGCTCGTTGGATTTTTCAGGGTGCTCTAAAATACCTGTGTGCCAGGGAGGAGCGCAGAATGCGGGAGGCCAGCTGGGTCGCGCAGCAGCCTGCCCGCAGAGCAGCCGGCACACCTGCAGCTCCGCTCTGAGGGCCAGAAAGGCAGAAGCACCCCCGAAGGGAGCAGGGCCAGGGCAGCTGCCCTCGGGGCAGGCTTGGAGCCCTCCCTGCGGCTACAGTGGGTCTTGGTGAACCTGGGTCTGAAGGGCCGCCCTCCCTGTTGGTCATCTTGGGCAAGGACCAGGGGGGATACGGGAGCATAATTAATCAATCACGTTTGTGGCTGTGAAGAGGATTTATATATGCTTCAGACAGTACAGTTGTTCTTACCCATCAGCAATTTGGGCTTACGGCCCTCCCTGTCCTACAGGATTTTAAAATGCCTGGTTTATTTAAATTAATAGATACATTCATATTGCATTCTCCCCTCCTTCCAAATAGAGGGATCAAATTAATCTTTCTGCATGAGTTTGTCTGCAGCTGTATGGTACTGGCCCCTCTCAATAATCAAAATGAAACGCTTATTAAATGTGCTTGCTTTTATTCACAGAAAGATGAGCCAGATGCTTTTAAGGAATTGGGAACAGGCAACAGAATTGCTACTTGGTTGTTTTATGTAAGTAAGTGCTATCTTTCTGCCATGTGCCAGTGCCAAAAATATCCATCCCTGCATATTCTACACCCTTGAATGATGTCGTTGCCTTTTTGTTTTTTACTGAAGTGATACTTGCAGATGAAGAGAGCCACTAAGGTAGCAGTAATACATACAGGCTATCTTCTTACCCCGAAGTAACGGTTCTTCCAAGTGTTCTTAAGGAGGTGGGGTTCCCCCCCCTCCCCTCGGAGTTGAGCATCAATTAAATTAAACTAATTTGACTGTCTATTCATTTTTCTATCTGTCCGCATCGGTGTTTATAGCATGCTCGTTGCCAGAACGTCGGGGCGTGTAACATTCAGGGCCAAGGCTGGCTGTTGCACCTTGCACAAAGCGGGTGGGTTTCAGCCTTTTTTAAGGCTGTTAAGCGTGTGCAGCCTTCGCCCACTAACTGGGAGGTAGAAATGAAGTTGTTCGCTAACCGAATTCTGGTTTTACTAAAACGTGATGCTATGAACGAAGGTGTCAGCTTGCCACTTAGCCGTGCCTTTTCCCGCCTTTTCAGATGAGCGATGTGTCGGCAGGGGGCGCCACCGTCTTCCCTGAAGTAGGAGCTAGCGTGTGGCCTAGAAAGGTGAGCGGGGTTTGTGACAGCCGGTGGGGCCGCCCCTCGCCCGTGGAACGGGGGTACACGCGAGAGCGCGGAGGTACTTACGGGTCAGGGAAGCGGCTGGAGCAGCGCTGGGGATTCCAAGGGCTTCTGATGTTCTGCCTGTTAACGCCGAGTTACCTGTTGGACTCGACTGCTCCTACCGCACAGACCTTGCCTTGCAATACTTCAAATCACATTTTGGAAATACTCAAATCCCTGAGGAGGTTTAGTGGCGAGGCGGCTGTAGGGAATTGCCCCTGAAATTGTGTGTTCCCGTTACATTTTTATTTCCCTCAGAAGGGTCACAAATAAGGTCCGTCTTTGCTGGCCTGCTGCTCATTTTTAGTAAATTCTCTTGCTTTCTAAAACTGGTCAGAGTTGAACGAAACTGGCTTCGGGTTTAAAAAAAATTAACAGCCAAGTATACATAGACAGAGAATGAGTCAAAGGAGACTCATTCCTTAGGAAAGCAAATGTTAGAATATGGAAAAGAGCTTTCAGTTTAAAAGGAACGTCTGAAATACAAATACACCTACCTTTGCCTCATCGTTAAGTAAGTTGGTGTGACGGTGTGTATCGCACAGAGCAACACGCTGAGGGTTTCCCCTGCCATTCCCAGGGAACGGCTGTATTCTGGTACAACCTCTTCCCAAGCGGAGAAGGAGATTACAGCACGCGGCATGCGGCCTGCCCGGTACTAGTTGGAAACAAATGGGGTAAGTACCCCTCACGTTGTTGTCGCTGCCAGTGACCTGGAGGTCTGGGGCTTTGTTGGTGGGCTGTCGTGGGTTTCTTTTGCCTCTGGACTTCATGGGGGAATAAAAAGCAGCCAGAAATTAGGTCCTTTATAAAGAAATCTACTTTGTAGCTATATCTGTGTCATCTCTCTCTAGACATATTATGTTACTTATTTTATGTATGGTAGCATATTTTATAATAGATATAAAATACCTGTAATACTCTATCTACTTTAATAGTTCTCTGTAGCGTTGCAGCGACTGGAAGGTTTTATCCCCTCTTGGATTTATTAGGCCAACTTCACATTTGTGTGTGTGTACTAAAATACTTTAGAGAATTACCATAAGCCTGTGCTTAACGGAAGGCTGGCCAATAGCATATATTTAGCTTAAATTAGAAGCAGGGAGCCAACCAGGTGCAGTGATCAAATACCTTTATGTCTTTGCAGTATCCAATAAATGGCTCCACGAGCGGGGACAGGAATTCCGAAGGCCGTGCACTTTATCAGAGTTGGAATGATGCGGAGTCGTCCTTCGTTTCCTCCGTATTCAGTTTGTGTAAAATGCACACATCTCCTACAGTTTACAATTGACTAACACTCCACTACAGGTTCAGTCTTCAGCTACACCGGTGTTTCATCTGTGGACAAAACAAACATGCTTTTAGTTCCCTTAAACTATCTCCTTAAGGTTTTATGAACAGAATATATTAAGGTCCATGAGTGTTACAGGAAGAAAAAGAAAAAAAGGACAAAATACAGATCAGGGCCACAACTAACAGTGACGTTGTGTGTGGTGTTCACCGTCGCCCCTCTGATCCGGATGGAAAGCCAGCGATTGTTCGCTTAGAGTCCTCCTCACAACTGTCCGTCTGCAAAGGGCGGGATGATTTAACGGGAGGGCTCCCTTCTAAGGAAGGGTGAATTAAAGCAGTTCGTATTCCTCAATTTCCAGACATTCGACTCCTTGCTTTTCTAGAGTGCCTGACCACTACTGTTGAGAAGGCACAGCTTGTGTTTCTCTGGGGAACAGGTTATTATGTTTTAGTCTGGTTTTCCACTTCTGCAAAAGCCCGTTTTTAAACTGTCTTCCTTCTCAGCCTCTGTGGGGGATTTGGCTCTTAACCTCGCAACTGTGAGCCAGCAGTTACATACGCATAGGTGAGATGCTTCAGCAGCGTTGTGTCAAACAGGGCTGCATCAGAGCAGCCTGACAACAATTACAGCCTGGCTTCCCTCCTCTTTTTTTTTTTTTCTTTAATGTTTGTCCACATAAACAAACGCTGCTTTTATTCTTAGTAATCAACTCCCGCATCTTGTTCCTTGGGCAGTGGGGATGGGAATGTTACCATCTTCATTAATCAAAATAATTGTGCCTGATGACACTGGAATTTCGACTTGGTTATGAGACTTCAGGTGATGAGGTAATACATAGTCCTCACAGAACGCTCTCCACCCTCATCCTCCCCGTTCTCAAGGTTTTGTGAGAAACAGATGGCCTATTTATGAATCTACATCTTTTTTAGATGCTTTTTATTTTGCCAATGGTTTGGGTTTTTTCTGCTGCGGATGCCGAAGGCAGGCCACAGCAGTGACATGCCTTTAGTCACGGGGTGCCTGTTTGCACAGGACCCCCGAGAAGGTGCCTGCTCTGGGATGGTTTGGTGTTGCTCACCTTGCAGAGGCCCCTTCGGCTGCAGCGCCGCACCTCGCGCTGCCTCCCCTCTTTAAGCTGTAGCTGGCACTCGTGAGCGAGGAAGCGCTGGGAAGGGGCCTCCTCCAGAGGCTCTGGTGCCATCACTTCACTGCTGCTCTTCCCATGAGCCGGGGCTGGAGCCACTCACCCAGAAAAAGCGTCCCCAAAGTCAGCGGTGCCCACACTGGAAGAACTCGCTGGTGGTGACTTGCAGGGACCTTAGCTTGTGACGAGTCGTCCTTACGCAGAGATGAAGTCGAAACCTCTGAGGGAGATGAGACTGCGGCCGCTGGAGCTCTTGAACTTTTGTTCTGCTTGTCAGATTCCTGCGGGAGGAATAACTGCTGTCCCCGCTGCCCCTCAGCGCAGGAAGAGCTAAGCAGGGCAGGGAGAGGCTGCAGGGAGGTTCGCTTTCCTAAGCCATTTCTCTTCAACGGCAGGATTTTTAGCAAAACGTCTAAATATCCACTAGCATGAGGACAAGAATCAAAGTGAGCTGCACCAGCCTCTACCTAAACAGTCTAATTTTCTGCATGATGATGGTTTTACTGATTTAGGGGTCAAGCCTGAAGTCTTTACCAAGGAAAAAATTTCAATTTTAGTTCATTGGATTTTCTGCCTCAATAAAATGTTGGAAATTGAGCCAAAACGTAGATGAAACCAACTGTTAACGTGTTAGAAATACCTCTGGAATGCTGAGAATGCAGTTTAAGGTACGATAGTTTGAAAAACTGCATACTTTAGGAAGACACTTTTAAAAATCTTTGCTGGAAAATGCATTGTTAAATTTCTACTGAGCCTGTTCGCAGTGGGACCTGTTTATCCTTAGCCCTGCACCTTCTTGCATTTTGCCTGTGCTTTTGGCAGATGTGAAACAAAGTCCATCCAGCACTTAAGACAACCAATAAAAAGAAAAATCAGAAATAGTTCCACCTCACATCTGTACTGCTCGTTTATTCAGAATAGCTGGTACGCTAGAGCAGTGTCTGATTCACATAGGTTCACCAAAGGAAGGGGTTAAAGGAGCGTATTTTTCATGACTAAATTACAATCATTAAAAAACCCAAAACATAGTGTTTCTACTTACTGGAATTTTCTCCCTTTCGCACAGCATCATTCATCTCCATTCCATCCATGGTTTTCTCTTTCCCACCATCTTTTTTACTTCCTTAAGCTCCAAAAGAAAGGTAACCATGGCCGCAGGTAAGTCTTGCCACTTCCCTGCAAGCAAAAGACCACAACGAACAAGGTGGTGTTAGGAGCCTCACCTTTGGGGCGCTAATGGTCTCTCAGTAGCTCCAAGGCATTTATAAATGCTTTTAGAAAAGCCAATCCTGCAGAGTTAAAACAAGCACCAAAAGCAAGCAATGTATTGCCACCATGAACACCTTTAGAAAGTGGTATCTGGGGTTTTTTTCTGAAGTGAGCAGAGGAGTTAACTTGACACATTAAAATAATTAAAAGCTACAAACTGTAGAATTTCCATAAGGTAAAAGAGAAATACTGAATAAAAAGTGTCAGTGGCTGCTTTAAGTCTTTCACTGCTGTAGTGGAAGAAACACGTCTCTTTCTTACCTGTTCAATGAAGAAAGGAACGGTTGAAGCCATGAGAAATCAATCAACAGTTTTGTCATATTAAGCGATTCCCCCCCCCCGCCCCCAACTCTGTTCAGCCAAGAGGAGACTGGGCAGGTGGCTGTTACCATCCTCACCTCAGCTACCACCGGGTGCTTCCAGTGTCCAACAGCAGTGTAAGAACGGTCTCGGAGGCATTGCTTGGGGAGTAAAAAAGGGTTTGTGCCTGAGTCTTTAAAGCAGTGAACTACTCAATGACTTGCAGTTCTTTTGGGAAGAAAAATAGTTTGTCTTTGACAGTGGAAAATTTCACTTGGTGTTTTTTTTAAAAAAAACAACTCAAAACTAACACTCAAGTCTGCTGAGGCACATCAGACTGAAATGTTCCAGATTATTAGAAGAGAAAGGGTAAGCTTATTTTTTTGAACTGCAGCCAGTCCCTGGTTCCTCATTCTCCACTGCAGTAGCGTGCGAGCACCTAATGCTAACTGGCTAAGGGATTACACCGGCGGCGCTGCTGCCTTCTGCCTCCCCTCTTCATTTCTCAAAGGGCTTTCGGATCAAGAGCTCAAGTGGCTCCTGTGGGAATCTAGTTTTGTATTAAAGATAACTGAAAACTGTTTAGCTCACAATGACTGACAATTGAGAAACTGCCTTACTGTTAAATTTTTTGTAATAAAATTTTTAATGTAAAAAAAAGAAAAAAAAAGGGCATAAAAATAAAAGCCACTGCCATTAGCAGTGAAAAATCCACCCCATCAACCTCTCCTCGTATATGGCTGTTGTAAATCTGATCACACAGACTTTTTTTATCACCGTATATGTTTCCTGGAAACCGAGCGCATTTCTTTCACTTCATAGTCTAGGCAGGCAGGTGCAGAAGATGCTCGTACCACCAATTACTACTAAACACCTTCCCAGACCCAAAGTTTGTGTCTTGGTTGGAAACCCACCGTGCTAACGGACTGATCTGCGGGGCTGAAGGCATGTTGGGCGCAAAAATTTATGAAAAGGAGCTGAGCTGCTCTTGGGGAGGAGCGTGGCTCAGCCCCTTTGGTTCCCTAACGCATTGATTTATGGCAGTAGCTGGTGTGGGATTTAATGGCGCCGTGGGAACCACACGAGCTTCTGGCTTGAACCTCAAAATGAGCACAGGGCCGGGTCAGCTGCTGAGACCCTTTTCCAGGGATGACAAATACTTCCATTTCCTGAAGCCAAGAGGTCAAACAACCAGTTACTCTGAGTAGTTCTTGGGAGGGGATGAAAGATCAGGCTACCCTGTAACCAAGAGCACAATACGGGGACAGAGCATGCACTTACATGGAGGAAGACCAGGTCGATGTCTTCTTCCATAATCAAGACTTCTGCAGTTTATATGCTACAGTTGTTCCGTGCTTCACTCTTTCAAAAGAGAGGAGTGCATACTTAATTTGTGCTCATTAGGAACCTGCAAAAAAGCACAGCAAGGGCTGCTTAGAAGCCTTGATCCTTTCGCCTGTGGAATGGAGCCTTGCGCTGCTGATGGAGCACGTGGCTTGCAGTTGGGGAACTGCCCTCCCTCCCCAGTGCAGCCCACAGACACAGCTGATGTGCTCACAGATTTGGCAGCCACGGGATAGGAAATCAGTCTAAAGCATACCAGTGTTTTTTTTTTTAGTCTGGAAACGTGAATTGATTCCATCCCCAGCTACTCCGTGCGTGCTGCTCAGCTGCTGCCGTGCCCCTCTCGGCAAGGTGGGCCAACGCCAGGAGAATGTGAGTGGCTTGGTGGCTCTGTCCTTTCAGAGGACAAGGCTTAGGCCAACCCTCTGAGCTTTTTGGGGTGTTTGTGGGCTGCTTTCCAGCCACTTAGGCCCAGGCTGGAAATGGCTGAAGCGGGGCCGCCCCTTTGCGCGTAGGCGTGAGGCTCGTGCCCTCAGCCTGCCTGCTATCCCCAAGCCTGCCGGTGGCGCAGGGGCTTTAGCACAGGGGTGTCATGGGGTGAGCTGCAGCTCACGGCCTTCCCTGCTGAGAAGACAGAGGGTCTGCCCTACCTTCTGCATGTGGCCTGAGGCACCTGCCCAGGATTTGGGGGGGCCTAGGTGGCCTTTGCCTCCTCCCACGGAGGAAGGGAAGGATTGTGGCACAGCCCTGTGCTACCCCCGACCAGTGCTTATGCACTGTGGCGTCCCACCATCCTACCTGGGGAGCTGGGGCTCTTCCAGCACAGCTGCACCTGGAGCGCGACCAGGGGGGATCACACCCAGGGAGGAACCCCGCCTGGGTGAGAACTACGGCAGTTGCAGCTAAACAAGGTAGGGCAGGGCAAGGGATAGGGAAAAAGGCCTGCGGATCACAGAATCGGTTTGGTTGGAAGAGATCTCTGGGATCATCGAGGCCAGCCTTTGCCCTAACACCCCCATGCCAACTAGCCCGTGGCACTGAGTGCCACGTCCAGGCTTTTCTTAAACACCTCCAGGGATGGGGACTCCACCACCTCCCCGGGCAGCCTCTTCCAGTGCCTGACAACCCTTTAGGGGAATAAATTCTTCATAATATCCAATCTAAACCTGCTCTGGTGCAACTTGAGGCCATCTCCTCTTGTCCTATCAGTGGGTAGCCTCGGAGAAGAGGCCGATCCCCACCTCACTACCCCCTCCTTTCAGGTCG